TTATGATTCTATATTCGTGATAGTAGATCGTTTTACCAAGATGGCACATTTTGTACTATGTACAAAATCTATCACAGGTGAAGAAACAGCTAAGCTCTTTCTTGACAATATCTATCGCTATCATGGATTATTTAAAGATATTATATCAGATAGAGGAAGTCAATTTGTATCAAGATTTTGGCGGACTCTTTTCAAGATTCTAAAAGTAGATATAAAACTATCTTCGACATTGCATCTTTAAATTTGTGGACAAACGGAGCGTGTTAATCAAGTTTTGAAGCAATATATAAGATATACCATTAACTACCAACAAGATGATTGGACAACTCTTTTGCTATTGGCACAGTTTGCTTACAATAATACAATACATTCTTCTACAAAATAAACACCTTTCTTTGCTAATTATGGTTATCATCCATGACTTGATACTTTTGACTTTTCAAAAGTTGATAATCTTGTTGCGAAAGATTTGGCAATTCAATTATCAGAGCTACATGCAACGATAAAGGTATAGCTAAAGGAGGCTCAAGAACAACAAAAGGTCAATGCGGATGTCTATTGAAAGCAACAACCACCATTTCACTTAGGTGATAAGATATGGCTATTTTGTCACAATATCAAGACCACTTGTTCTTGTAACAAGTTGGACTATCGAAGGCTTGGACCATTTTCTATTTTTGCACAAATCAATCTAGTTGCATATTATTTACATCTACCAGAGTCAATGAAAATCCATCCAATATGCCACGTAACTCTTCATGAATCATACAAGACAATGGACATACCAAGAAGATGACAAACTCCACCTCCTCCTATAGATATGGACAATAATGAAGAGTTTGAAGTAGAAGAAGTCTTAGATTCAAGGCGGCATCAAAATAAATTGGAATAACTTATCCATTGGCGTGGATAGGATATTAGTGAACATACATGGAAGCTAGTAAAGAATCTTACAAATACAGCAAAGGTGTTGGAGGCTTTTCATCAACGACATCCATCAAAATCAAGATGAAAAACTTCTTTATAAAAGAAACAACATCTAGGCAAGATAACATTCTACTTTCAATTCTTTTTTTATAGCTCCTTTGTAGTTGTGACGCTTAGGAGTTGGAGAACCAACAACCAATGGATTCGACTTAAGAGCCTTTATTTGCTGACCTGTCGGACGAGATATTACGATTTTCACAACCTTCAAGACGACGCAATCGAGATAAAGATCTTCAAGAATGACATGTTCTTCCTTGAATAGATGGCGAGATACAATACTTTTGATATCACGACTTGAGAAAGGACTCCCGATGTTTGGTGATTTTACTAGAAGTAGAAATAACTCTTGATGGTGTGCTAAATGTTCTATTGGAAGGAAGTTATGAAGGCGACAACAATGATGAAATAACTAGGTGGTCTTCCCGCCCTAGTATGGGACACTACCGATGGTTGAGAGGCCCTATCAATCATCTTCTAAGAGAACAAAGATCAGAGTATGTGGCGAATACAATTCGTTGCATCATAGATTTCTTCAACATATGATGACCGCTCCTCGTGGAACTCGTCCCTAGAAGCAGAGGTAATGTCACGGACATACTCATAATTATATATATAAATAGGTAGAAATAAATAAAAGTAGATAAGAGTAAATTAATTCTATAGTATTTGATATGGAAGCTTTCGAGAAGCTTCATAGATGCTACTTTGACTTCATGGGTGTCTTTAATTGACTTTTTGGATTAAAAACGTCATCAAAAAGTTGGCCATGTGCCACTTATATTGTTAGCTTGAAGACTAAGCTAACTATGTGGCCCCCATGTAGAAAAACTTACCTTGTAAGTCAAGGCATGGATCTTACAAAGTCAACACATAATGGAGGTCCTATAGAACGTTGCCATGTAGCCCCTAGTTAGATAGTATATATAGAGACAAGAGTGAAGCCTTCTTCACTCTTATCAACTCCTTTCTTACTTCCAATCTAGTTTCAAGGGGCTCTAGTTTTCTTGTCTTTTGGCAATAGCCATTCTTGTTTCTCTTTCAATATACATACTTGTTTATTTATATTTTGTTACCTTTCTTTGAGTGAAGGCTCACTTGTCTGAATTTCTTTTTCATTGAGTTCTTATCCTTGACACTTCTCTAAAAGGTTTTATGAAATTAATCTACTTTTATCTACTTATACCTATTCCAACTTAATCATATAGGTATTTATTAGAGTACCTATGTATGTTCGTGATATAATGCCATATCACCTTTAATACTAAAATCTTAGATTTGTTTTTACAAGAATTATATATATATATATATATATATATATATATATATATATATATATAGAATTTATGTAGTTTTATTAAAATTAAAACTTCTTATTTTTTATTTTTTCAAAAAAATCCAATATTTTTTTAAAAATTATTATTATTATTATTATAGAAGTTGGAATATTTGGTGGATTTATATGTTTTTTTGAATCTATAGTTGATATATCCTTGTAAAATATAGAATTATTTCATTTTTTTTAACTATGTTTTAGTTTCATCGAAAATATTAATAGAATTTTATATATTAATATATTAGATAATTCAAATTATATCTTATTTTTTTCATAATATATATTGAATGCAAAAATATTGAATTTTTCTAATAGGACACTCGATATGGTTTTAAAAATAATCTATAGGATTTTATTGTCTATAAATGATTTAAAAACAACTATTAAATATTTGATTTTAAAAAATCAATACATGTATCCTATTAGCTTTTGTACAATTAGAATTGTTTCCAAATACAAGAAAAACTCAAAAATATATATTTTTTTTATTTGGCCATAACTACTTTAATAGGCTTAAATCTATAAATTTTATAATTTACTTTTTAAAATAAAAATATCATATCTTAGAAAGAGTTTTTAAAATATAATTATATAACCTAAATAATTTAGGTAGATCATTTAATATATGTATATATATATATAGTATTTGATATGATTTTTAATTTCATAAAAGAATTTATCAATGAATAATTAAATACCACTAAATTTTCAAGTCATTTTGATCAAAGTTAAAAAAAATATGCAAAAGATTCTAAGCAGATTGAAAAGAATAATGACTAGAAACTAGTACAGTTTTTGAAAAAAAAAAAAATCCTAGTTTCAATCTAAAATTTGGTGTGAAAAAATTTCCTTATATTATACCATAAACAACTCTTTGGCCACCTTAATGTTGAAAGGTTTCTTGTACATAGGATCAATTAGAACTTAAACTTTAATAGTATTAATAGAGAGTTGTTAAAGAACCTCCTTTATTGCAGCTATATCTAAACTATTATTTAGAAATGCTTTATGCCTAAAATAAAGTAGATTTAGTCTAATTTTAGATCTATTTATTGAATTATATATCCTAAGTTCTAATTAATTAACATGTAATATATAAATATACTAAATTTAAATCATTTAATATATTTTCTAATAATTGAGAGCCATTGTCATGTAGTGATGCTAATCTAAGAAAGGAGAGGCTATAAAAGAATTTCTTTAGTATTAGATTATATGTAATGATGTTGGATTGATTAAATATTATTTGCAATCTCATTTTAATTTTGGTACTTTTTCTTCACTTAATTCCTAACTTACTTAAAATATATATTATCATTACTTTGCTAATTACAATATTTATCAGTTGTTGACTTACTATGATAGCATGTATTATTAGATGGATATTTATTTTGTTTTATTGTATGTCTAAGAATATTGAGATATTATTATATATTATTATTGTATAATTAAAAATAATATGTTTTTGATTGCTTAAATAAGAATTATCATACTCCATAATTTTTGGCTCTATATTTATGAATATGAGATTATTGTATTTATTTGAAGTATTTCAACAAACATATCTTTGATCAAATTTGTGGTAAGTATATCTTTTATAGAGCTTATATTGCAATTAGATTTTTTTTGTATTTAAAGAACTAATTGATTGAATGTAATTATATTATTCATCTTATGGCTATATTTTATAATAAATTCTCATATAATACACATTAAAAATATGATGTTAAAAAATTATAAGGTCAAAATTAATAATGATTTGAAGGTTAGATTCTCTTTTATAAGTATAAATTATTAATATGAAGTCTACCATAATTTCAACTATCTTGTTTGTAGAGTCATAATATGAATCACAAATATCTATAATTAATAATAAATTTACTTGATTAAATAATAGAATTAAATAGAGATAAGTTAAATTATTATTATTTAAATAAAAAGCTTCTTCAGAGCTTTGCAAATGTGAATTTAACCTTATACATATTAGTAAGTGACTGATAGGTTGAAAGGTTGGCCAAAAAAATGGCTACATGTTGCACATATTAACTACATGTATTATAAGTTGGCTAGATGGCACACATTTTAGAAACTTATTTTATAAATTAGACACGTATCTTATAAGTTAGACACTTGTTGTGTGGTCTACAAGACGTTGCTACATGGTTCTTTAGAAAATAGTGTATATGGAAACAAAGATGAGGCCTTCTTCACTCTTATCAACTTCTTTCTTGTTTCTAGTCTATTTTCAAGAATCTCCAGCCTTCTTATCTTTAGCAATGGCCATTCTAGTTTCTTCTTGAATATACATATTTTCTCAATCATTTTTTGTCATTTCTCTTTGATATGCATTTCATTTGTTTATTTACATTCTTAAAGTTCTTAATTTTGACAATAGGTGGCTAAAACCTTAATGTGTACATGTCCCTTGCATTTTAGACATGTATAGTTTCTTCAACATGTGGTCCCCAACTAGCCATTGCCAACTCCCGGGCTCCAATCCAAGCATGAGTGTGATTTCGATTACATAATTGGCATCCACTGTGACTTTTGTCGGCATCTGGGGCTTCTATTGCAGCTTTTTCAAAGCAATACATTCTAAGATAGAGCCTTGGTCTACTTGGGCAAAGGTTACAGAAGCTTCAAACAGTGACTGCATGTGGTGAGGAGATCATGAGATGTATTTGAACTTTAAGTATAGAAAGAAAATCTAAATTCGAATCTTCATATTGCTTGATACCTTCAAATTCGTGCGGCAATATGCAACGGGTGGCACCGCAGCGTCAAATGCTGTGAAGCAACAAATAGAAAGCACACAGGGAGTGGTGTGCAACACAACCTCCCTGTTTTCCATTGCTCTATGTCAATGGCGTGATGCTTTCTCACCAACTGGGGAGGTTACATGCCTCCCCCTAATGAAGTTTTCGGAGTAAACAATCAATTCTCAATCTCCTTAACGAAGTGTATATGCAACCTTCTATGCTTGCGATGTTCTCGCATAATCGGCTCTCGATGAATGGAACTACTGTGGATCGAAATCCTTCTTGACGGACCAGCCCACCTCTCTGTGAATGGGGATATCGTCAGTGAATAGACCTACTCTGACTTTAGCTCGAACTGGGTGGAGGAATGTATGATTCTTGCTCTTTCATTTCCTACTGGAAGACGCGCTCACCCGTTGCATTGAAGACCCAAAACAATGTGCTAGCAATGTACATTACTGAAGTGAGGGTTAGAAACGACTGAAAAGACCCCAGGCGTTCGATGAACAGGCCGGTACCCAAGGTGCTGATAATAGCTGCCATTGTGCCTGCTGTATTAGACATACCTGCAGGGGCGAGCCACATGGTTGCTGTCAGTCACCCATCAGCTGATTGAATCTCCGTTTCTTATGCACATTTAGATGCTGTTACATTTGGGAACTGAGAGGAAGAAATGATTTAATACCGTGCAGAACGCCTGCATACTTGGGCCCTATCTCCTGGTAATTGACGAGGAATCCTGCTTGGCTGAAGGAACTCAAGCCCACAGCTGCTGTGAGCCACGCGGCGGCCACCATGGGATCACGCACAGCGTTCAGCCCCAGAAGCGCCGCTGCGGGGCCCAGGAACCCAATGGACTGCATGAGTTTGCGCGTGGTGGTTAAAGAGACGCCGGATTGCACAAGGAAGTCGGAACTGGCGCCAGCTATAAAGCCAACTGCTGCCATCATGGCCCATGGCACAGCACTGAACCACGCTGCATCTTTCAAGTTCACTCCAAGTACCTGCTCCATAACCAGCAAACCATTCCATCTCTTTATCAGTTCAAGGTAACTTTTATCTCCAATGGTTAGGTTCACCAGGTGTGGTCTGTTCACAGAGAAAAGGTCCAGATAGTGCAACATGGAGAGTCTCGCACTGGGAGCTCCAGGTCCAAACAGAGTAATGAAGCAAATTATCTGAGTGCTAATGGAGAGAATGAATAGGTGCAGGAATTTACTCACCGTGTTAAAATACACTGGCATCCACCCCAGAAGAATGAAGTAGCCCTGCACCACATCAACAAGTTGATGTCAACATTGGGTGCGTAATTTTTGAAGCTATTCCCAATCCAGGTAGGGTATTCCAGCCGAACAGGAGGTGCAGAAGTTCGTGGAAGACTGTTAGAAATCGACGTACCCAGTTGTTCATAAAGTTGGCGATTATGATAGCCCATGTTGGAAGCTTTGAAAGGAGAAGACGAAATGGTGGAATTGCGCTGCGCGGAGGGATCGCAGATGAGCTTTCGACTGTTCCAACACTCAGATCTTCGTTTCCTTGTTTGATGTACTGGTACTCCTCTCTAGAAATCCTGGGCTGACTTTGAGGATTCCGGGCAATTTCAGCAAGCCATACAAACAACCAAACAAAGCCCGACACTCCGAAAGCAACGAACGGTGCATTGATGCCAGAGGAAGTTGCCAGGAGCGTGGGTGTAATGACGAGCCCCGCCACGCTCCCCAGATGAAAGCCTGCCATCGTCATGCCCACTGCTCTTGACCTCTCTGTTCGAGGAAACCACCTGGTAAAAATTTCACAACAGTGTTTCAGTAAGCTCGGTGTGCCACTCACATACGAACATAGGTTGAGACCACAATTGTCATTGGACAAATAGTCACGTAATGCTCGGGAGCTCGTAACAAGAAATCAATTTGGGTTGTGTTGAGACACCGCACCTGGAAATCATGTTGTTCATGCAAGGCATCGTCACACCCTCTGCAAGGCCCATGAGCACACGGACAGCCAGCAACGCCGAGAGAGAATGGCTGGCGGCCCAGGGAGTCAAAAGTGTGGCAAGAGACCAGATGGCCACTCCCCAAGCCATAACGGCTTTTCCTCCATAGCGGTCGGCAAGCGCTCCTCCGGGGATTGGCGACAGCAAATATCCCCACAGGAAAGATGACTGCAACGTACACGTTGACTGCTTATCAGAGATTGTCACTTCAAGCCAATGTGAACTGGCTGCTCATCGTTACTAGTCTCAAGGAAGGGTTCAAATGTAGGTGATTTAGGGGTACAAGTTGAAGAAAGTTGAGGGAGGGAGGAGCTAACTTGTACAACGCCAGCGAAGCTTTGGCTCCAACCATGGGCAGCTGACATGGGTACAATCGCCACGGACATGACGACTCGGTCTGCGTTGCACAATGCCATTGCCAAGGCCACCATGGCGACCACTTTGGCCCTCTCCGAAGATAGAAACGTCAGCCACTCCGATTTCTCTCGTTCAAAAAAACTAAAATCAATTTCTGTGGACGCCACTTGACATCGGGTCGTCCCTGCATCCTTCCAAGTTTTCCCCGAAATTTGAGTAGGAGCCAAATCCTTCCCCCGAAACATTGGTGCAATTGGGCGGGGATGATGAGCACTAGATTGAACGCGTGAGTTCCGAATTACTGCAACAGGATTCTTGTTCGAGGAGAGTCTAAATAGTTGCATGGACTGGGATGACGAAGTTGCGCTTAGAGATTCACGTGAAAATACTTGCATATTCGAGCTTCTATAGTGAAAATCCTGTCGTGTCGAAAGTGGATGGTTTGAGGTGATGCAGGGCGCCATCGCCATCGCCATCGCCGCTATGTCGAGAAACTCAGACACCAGCAATCGCAAAACGCTTTTCTACTACCTCACAACAAAACTGGCGATCTCATAGGCAGATTGTGGCAGTCACTGTGCTAGAGCTATGTTCCACTCCTCTAGACAATTTGCTAAAGAAGTTCATGCAAAATTCCCAGTTGTGTACGCGTGCCAAATGTTCCCTGTAAGATCATTACCCATTCGCAAGACACGTGCAAGGTCATATCTCACGAGGGGCACAAACATTCCGTCGCATTTGAATCGAGATGGTTTCACAATGTCTTCATAGCCCGTTGAATCGGTTCAACACGGTTGTTGTGTAACATCAAACTACGCAAGTCAAAAGCAGAGCAGCCGGAAAGCCTTTGTCACAAATCGGAGTCATTCCTTGACCTGACTTTTGTAAAGCACCAATGCCACGAAGACTCCACAACTGAAGTGACGTATACATCACATTCCGGTGGTTTCAGTCATTTTGAAGTCTCAAAAATGCAACGTGAGCTGACACGGAAGACTTATGACAACCTGAGAGGGAGTCCGGCATGCAAACCCAATCTCACAAATAAAATGCCCCACGAGCCTCCTTACATCCAAATCAATCTATTGAACCCATAATCCACGTAACATTCGCAACACAGGGAGGATATCAGACACCAAAAAGCGAAGGTCGTGCGGAGGCCAGGTCAACGCTCATGTTACTAGCTGAAGAGGGAAGGAAGATTAAAAAAAAGAAAAAGAAAAAGAGAAAATCACAGAGACAACAGAACAAAGTGACTCCTCCGACAGGGCCTCAGTGGTCAAAAATATTGAACCGATTCGCGGCGCTCCGACGCCTCCATTCAGAAGTACGAGGAATCAGGAAAGTTGCCATTTGGAAATCAGCACCGGCCACAGAGGCACACACATGCATGCATGAGTGGTAGCTCAGTGACTTGCCGACTCTCACTGCCTCTTGCCACGTTTTTCATCCCCTGGACGGCATCGTCGCCAGTTATCAAAAAACCTGTAGCCAATCGGTGCTGATCCTGACCTAGATACGGACCAGTGGAGAACGCTAAAACAATAGACAAAAATGGGCCACGAAAAAATAATTGCGCCACAGAGTAGTCCAAATATATACAACAGATAAGACTTCCCCAACCGAAAAGCTTCACAAGATTGACACAAAGCTGCCCAATATTATGGTCCCGAGGTGCGATCATAACGACTCCCAGCGGATTCTTCATGTCGGGGGTAGGACATGCTTTAGACATGGTCCTGGAGTGAGTGAGGTCCAGCTTCGGCATACATTCCCCCACATACACACCGGCATTGCGAAGCGAGGCTATTGAGATCAGCGATGTCACTTTCCGAGGTCATGAGTGAGGAGATGATGTCGCGGCGTGGAAGACATGAATGAGCCCCGTTGCTCTCACGTTGAAGCTCGCGACCCGTTTGGATACCTCGATCCGCGGGACGAAACCGGGTGTCGAAGTTTTGGTCGAAGTCCCAAATGGAGGGCTGGAACGAGCCGGATGAGATCTTGACTTTGTTTTGCTTTTTGGTTGTTGTTGTTGTTGTTTGTTTGTTTGTTTGTTTGTTTTTTTTTTCCCTTTGTTTCTTGGGTCTTGTGTTGTTCTTTGAAGATTGTTGAAACGATCTTTGATTTTTGGCTACTTGTATTCTGATGGTTTGTAATTGTGGTTGAAATAAATGCTTGTGTTTGGTTCTACAAGATGTGAGCGAATCTTTATTGATGTGATCTTGGAAAAAATATATTTAAAATTCAAGAGAGTGAATTTGTTAAGTTACATCTTTCGGTTATTTATCAACTATAATGATTTCTAGTTAGAGAATTTTGGGATATATTGATACCTTTGTAATAATAAAAATTATCTTAAAAAGACTAATTTGATTTTTTTTTATAATAATTTTATGACAAGAATTATTTATTTTATTTAATAATATAAATATTTAATTTTTTAATGCAATTTACCACTATATCTAATAGTAATATACATGATAATTTATAAAACAGACTTAATATAAAATAATAATTATAAAACAATAATTATAAAACAGACTTAAGATTTAGTCAATTTTAACAATCAATATGTCTTAATCACAAATAAAAGCAAAGATGTTGATTATTTATTCATAAAAGTTTAATATTTCTTGTTTCAACTAATATTACTGTTATTATTAAATTTTAGCAAGTAATATGCATTATAAAAGTTAAAATTTGATTAATGTTCTAATTGTATAGCTTATTTATAAACATATTATCATGCACAACAATAAACTAAGACTACAAGTAATTTCAACAATATTAAAAATCTTTCCAAATCTTATGGATATTAATAAGTTTAAATAAGCAAAAACTTAAAACTATTTTCAGCATAAATTAGATAAATTCTTAAAAAATTAAATATATCTGATCTATGTATGTATATATATATATATATATATATATTTATATATTTATATATACATACTTCTATAAATTATAAATTTAACTTTTAAGAAATAGATATATTAAGATGATATTCAAAATGATTAATTTTCACAATACATAATTAAAGATTACACCTAAATTTTTTGAAAGTTTATATTATATAATACCAAGACATTTTCTTCTACACTATGTTAACTTTAAACCATAGAATTTTACTTCTTTTCTTTTCTTTTGAAGGTAAGATTTGCAGTAGATTTTTTATTTTTTATGTTTTGATTTTGGTACATATAAAAGTGGTTATATTTTTTCATATATAATTAGAATAAAATTTAGGTTTCTATGTTTTTAAAGAAAATAGTCTGTACTATCTGTTTGGTAGCTTATATAGTTACAAATATTTTTAAATTATAATTTATCATAATACATATGGCTTTATTAAAAGAAAGATTAATTATATTGTTTTTTTGATCTACACAGAAATATAATTGTTTTAATTTCTATTATATTTTATATTTTATTTTTTTATTTGTATATTTTAATTTAAAATAGATCACGATAAGAAGTTTAATAAGTAAAATCTTAAGAACATAATTATAAAAATAATACAAACCGAGATGTATTGGTTGTTTTTGCACCTTGCCATTCTATCACTCTAATGTAGAAGATAAAATGAAGATGTATCAATCAAATTATCAATACATTTTTACAATATGATTAAAGATTTGAGGTAGATCTAATTTCTTATTATTCAAATATTATATTATATTAAATATATGCCTTGAGGTTTATTATTGGAAGAAATATTTTAATCTTTTTTATATACATTTTTTATGTTTTGTTCACAACTAGATAGATAAAAATATCATATTTCATTTTTCTTGTCATATATTCTAATTTTTTTTATTTATTTCAAATAATTTAGTCATGGCCTTAAAATACCTATCTATTAAGAATAAATCTTTAAATTAATCGTTTTTATATTATTAAAAAATCTTTGGATTATGATTTAATTTTTTTTTAGTTTTGTGTAAGTTGAAAAAGTTTGTATAATTTTTATTATAAAATACTTTTAATAAGTCTTATTTTTATTAAATAAATTTTAATGGCATTGCATGTAAACATATTCTTTCTTAATAATTATCATTAAATTTTCTATCCATACAAAATTATTTACTTCAAAAATAATTGTATATATTATATCTTAAAACTTTAATAATTATATTAAAATCTTAAAAAAATATCATACATGCATGTAAATTTTGCCAAAATATCAAGAATATCCATGTATTCTTGATAATATAAAATCTATCCATGTTTTTTGTGATAATTGCAAAAATGCTAAATATTACAAAAATTCTTGTTGTTTTTTTAGTTTGAATTGAAGTCCAAAGCCACAATTTTTCTTACTTTTTGGGCCTTGTGCAAACTGGTGCCTTTGCCACCCACTATAGTTGCAAAAATTTTGGCATTAGCTCTTGCAGCATCTTGTGTATTGACTCTATTGCCCACAACCATGAAGTTCTCTTATAGTGTGAGCAGCTTTAGGTGCTAGTTGAGGAAGGCACACTTCAGTGCCTCCTCTAGCAAAAGGCAGGTTTTGATGAGCGTTGCTCTCTTGTTACACTTGAAGAACAAGTATAATGTTCGGTTTGTGCTAATGAGGAAAGATGATAAAGTCATGATTATGTACAACATATTCAAAGAGTGAGAAGGAAAGGTTTTTCAAGTGTATTGGAGGAAGTGGGTGATTCATGTGGAGAGTATTATTTGTGAAAAAGTGAACAGATCCACTGTAAATATTGGCATTAATACGTCCAATATAGCGATCATGAAGCTAAAGTTGAATAAGGATAGAAAGACCTTTTTAGAACAAAAGGGCAAAGATCGATCTGCAAAGAAAAGAAAGTTCATGAATGAAGATGTTATTCCACCCTTGTAGGAAGTGCATTAGAAAGTTTTGATTTTTGAAAATGATACCACTCCAACCATGTAGTTGTATGGATGAGATTACATACTCAACACCAAATTTTTTATTTTTTATTTTAGAAAAAAGAAAAAAGAATGCCAAGCATTGTATCCAAAGAATAGAGAACCAGGAGCATCAAAAAAAGATGCTAGTATAATACACACATCAAGGTAGGCGATGTAGTAACTCAAGAGTATTCAAGAATATAACAAAGTACAACAATAATAATTAAGATGAGGTTTAGAATTCTAACTATTTTTTAAAAAACTTAAATAAATAAATAAAAATATATATTATATTACATTACAAAAACAAGACATTTAATACTTTTATTTTTTTCCTACTCTCTCTACTTGTAATAAAAGTATAACTTCTAAAATATTTACTTATAATTTTTTTGCAATGGTACAGATTGTGCTACAAAACTTAGGCCATCCAAATACTTTCTAGGTCACAACTTCCATACTAAAATGCAATTTATCATATACACTAACTCACTCTTGTGCTTATATTCTTTTGACTAGAAGAATAAATGTGATCTCACAATTATGCCCCAAAATTTAAATTTTTGTTATTTTCCTATTTTATGATAAATGAGCATGTTAGATTAGGATTTACATAAGTAGAATTTAGTTTTATAGAATTTTTAGGATTTCAACCTTTGATGGTATAAACTATAGCCTAATTCCTTGAACTAGATTAATTAGGACCAAAGTGATAAGAATTAAGAAATTAAAATATCAACTTATTTAGTTTTAATAATTTAGAGGTTGTTAGTCACTACTATGAGGGTTGACTAAAAGCCTATGAGTTTATCTTCAATTATTTCGCATGATTTAGAATGAATTAGAATTATAATATTCTAAAAAATCTAGTGAAGTTTAGCAATGATAGTTTTGAGATTTCCTCCAAATTCAACAAATTCAAGTGGCATAGTGATTCTTCTAATTAATGGAAGCTTTTTTAATGCAATGGTGGCATTGGATTCACCCCATGGAGTGAAGAAAACAAGATCAGAACCCTCTCCTTCAAAATATAAGTGGGGCAATGAAATTCTCATTTTGAAGGATTTTACAAGAATTGCCAAGATCCTTGTAGGTAAAAACTTTCATAAAAATTACAATTGAGCATGGATTGAGGCATGTGAGTAGTCGATT